CGGTGACAAGTCTGCGGCCCAGAAATGCTTTGCAGTTTCCACCAGCCGCATCAATGGTGACTTTGTCTATTTTATCTTCCACCACCTCCGCCAAAAGGGCTACGAATGTCTTCAAGCCCCATATTTTGCCGGCGCTCAGCTGGCACACTTTCTAGAGCAGGGGATCGTCCAAACGGTCTTCGGGCCACCGGGCCTGCTCCTCTATGGTGTCAAGTCAGTTGTGATCCACTTGAACTTTAGCCAAGTGTCCTTTGATTGGGTGGACTTAGAGGCTGTGTTGAACAAGTGGCAGCTTTCATGGGATGAATTTGTCGATGCCTGCATGCTTGCGGGCACCGAGTACTGCCTCACCTATCCGTACCTCAACCTTAGTCCCTTTGGCCATTCGGTCGCTCAGCATCAGGGACAGCGATTCAACTTCGACGCTGCCGTGTACATCATCCGGCAAGCTCCGTTGATCAACTGGATGCAGACCTTTCCCACCGAGGACATGAAGAGCGACCATGTGGATGGCTACTGCATCTGCAAAGTCCTCGTCCAGAACTCCCCAGTTTTGCACCTTCAAGATCATGCAATTCGCCCTTTGGGAGCATCGAAGACTGGACCGCCTCCATCGGTCCCCAACGACTTTTCCTCCATCATGGGCCAAAAACTTCCTCCCAGCCTCTACTACCTTATGCTCCACGGCATCATTTCCCACAAGCTTCCCCAAGCACTTGCCAAGGGAGAATGGACAGACAAATCACAGCCGCTCATTGACACCAATGAGTTCCGATCGCTTCTCACGGACTTGCAGGACTACCGCAGAACCTCGCTGGGATTGATCGCCCAGCACCTGCACAAGAGCTTCCAGAACAAATCAATTTTGTGCAAGGCCTACTGGGAGCCCAGCAATATCCGGCAGGCTCTTGGAACTGATGCAAATTTGCCCCGAGATGCTAGGATCATCCAGCCCGACATCCAGCAAGGTCTTCGATGGAAGATCACATGCCAGTCAGTGAAGGCCGAGATGAACCGCCAGAAAGTGGAGAAGGTGGATTTCAAGTTTTGCCTGAACTGGCATGCTCGTGAGTTTGAACAAGATGGTCCGCTCATGCAAGGCATTAAGGAGCCACAGCCGCCCTCCTTTGATGATCACCTTCATTCCTTGTCTGCGCTGGTACACTTCATTGTCCTAGAGAAGCTAGACCTGATTTCCTCCGAGGATGGTGGTGCGACAGTTCTGAGTGATGTGCTCAAGGACACGCCGAGAAACCTGACAGAGCCGTGCCTCACAGCACTTGAGCTCATGAAATATGGTCAGCTCAATGGAGAGCCATTCGAAGCAGCACACGCAGACAAGCCTTTTCCATCAGAAGTGAAATACCCAGTCTCTAGCCAATTGCAGAACGCCGCCGAGAAGGACAAGGTCTGTGGAATGCTCCTCCTGTGCCGTGTCATGTCCTTAGTGCCCATGAAACTCAAAAACATCATGTGGGACTCAGACGTTGATTTTGACTTGGCTGCGTTCCATGCCCTCGTTCGTGTGCTGAAGCGAACTCTTCGACAGATGGTCGAGGGAGCCTTGGCATCTGTTCTGCTGAAGGACCTGGCAAAGGTCAAATTGCTGCCCAAGGGCTTCATGTGCGCATCCCCAGTGCACAGAGATTCTTATCCACATGTTCCGGCCGAGCTACCGACCTTCATGCTGCCTCGGGCATGCATGGGGATTGTAGTGCGGTACTTCTTGGAATACCGTGGAGATGCTGACAGCTTCCCAGTTGATGTTGGCAAGCGATTCCCATGCTGCGCGCAGCCTGTTGAAGACCTGAAGCTTGCATTCACCTTCTGGCACGACTTGCGGCGCTGCGTGGACACCATTGCAGAGACGCTCGGCGCGGAAGAGTTGAGTGAGGACATGAGGAAGGCAAGCGGCATTCTAGAAGACCAGAAGCGGAGGCTTGGTTTTGCATGAGGCAAGCTGTGGCGAACTGAGCGCCAACAAGCGGCGTTAGAGTAGTTTCGACACATGTGACTCTACTTGCATCGCTACGGTAGTGACTTAACATGACATTTTCATGCAAAACACTACATAATGGTTGCCTCCATGTCATGAAGACGTAGCCAAATGGATATCTTTACTGACAGACGGTGCGGCAGCCGCATCTGGAAGACTTCGCGCAAAGCCGTGGCGTCCTGGGGAAGACCCAGGACGTCCTGCTAATTGCTCCGAGCTAAACCTCGCATAGACTATGCGACTCTGCGATGATTGGAAAAACGGCTGTGGTTGCGGCCGATGTTGGCAGATGCAGCACTCATGCATGTCCATGCAGTCCCTCGCTTTTGTTTACTTAGAACTTAGAACCATGGCCTGTGGACAAGAAATCTGCCTCAGCAACTCAGCACGAGAGGTGGATACCTCGCGGCTGAGCCAACTTGGTGGCCAAGCAAAGGTCTGCAACTGAGCCCAGAAAGCAGCCGCGCAGCATCGTGCAACAGAGCCACACACAAGCAGTATCAGGCTCAATAAGTCTGCTTCAGGGTTGCTCACGACCAGAAGACCAAGCCATTGAGGTTCGTTCCATCACGCTAGTCTTTGAGTGAGTCTGAGTGACATGCAACACAGGTGCAAAAGCTGACTGGCCGCTTGATTGGCCCAAGGACGGGACTGCCCAACGCGGCTGCTTCGAGCTGTTTTAGCTTGTATCGTCCCACTCTTCTTAGAAACGGCAAATGGCTTGCGCGATCGCGCCACTACGTAGCAATGCACTACGTAGCATACACTACGTAGCGCTGCACAGTTAGGATCGAAAAGGGATATTCGGGTCTCAGTTTTTTGTCGCCTTGCTAGAAGGAGGCCGTGCTCCACGTGCACATTCACCACGCAGAGAACATGTGACTAGAATGGAAGACATGCAGTTGATTGCAGTTGCGCAGGAAGCCACCGCAGCCGTTGCAATGCCTGCTGGGACACGTGGCATACAGTGCAATGCTTCGCTATTCAATGGTGTCACTGTACTCAGAGGAACGATTGTATTGCCGAAGGCAGGTGCGCTACTGTTGCGCAGCACCGCTGCGCAAGAGCTGGGGGAGTGCAGCTTTCAGAAGTTACAGCCAAGTCAGCCAAGCTGCAGCACATGCACACTCTGACAGCCCAATGACAGCCCAATGACAGCCCAGGATGGTGCTTCCAATGCGACCCGTGCCGCCATGGCGAGGGGGAAGCAAAGCACACACGATCAGCGCTTTAGCTGCCTTAGCTGCCTTAGCTAGGATGAAAGAGGTTCCCACAATCTGAAGTCGCAACAAAACACAAATACAAAAGACTAGAGGGCACATGGGCGTTGATCCAAATGTCCTTGTTTTGAAGGTCGGGCGCGAAAGTTTTCGATGCTGTTCACGTAAGTAGACTTTTTGATTTTGCGATAGTGCTACGTCGCGAGTCGCGACCCAAGTTCCACGAAGGTTCCGCGAAAGTCCGCGTAAGCCTTCTTGAGGTGCATCGAGCACATCTGTGGCGAGCACCGTGCGAGCAAAGCTTGGGCGAAAGACTCTCAGAGAAGCCAGCATGTGAGAGCTCATAGAGTCATAGAGATCTCATAGAGAGCGCAGCTCAAAGTCCACTTCCAGGAATCTTCCACGGGAGCCTCCAGGTTCCCCGCTAGCTGCAACGCGTTTGTTGTACGGTGCAGAGGCATCGCAAGTGCCACGAGCTGCCAAGCAGCTGTCGTTTGGGGGCGACTTGCTCGACGGGTACGTGATGCCCCAAGTTTGAAAGCACCGTTACCCGTAATTGGTTGGCGCAAGAGATAGCTGGCCCAAAGCTGGTCCACGAGACTTGAACCAAAAAAGGCTGCGTACCCTGACAGATTTTTGCAGACCGGCACACTCCCACTTGCACACAACATGTACATTCATTCATGGGAGTGTGTGTGTGTGTGTTTGCGTTAGGTCTGTTAGGTCCCGGGGAGGCTTGTTGTCAGCGGGAGCTCATGGGGACTGGTTCCTGAAAGCAGCATAAGGACCTCTGGTCGTGGGCAAACCACTCCCACCTCAAGCCACAATCGCCGCCCGAGTACCGCAGGTCCTCCTTTAATGTCAAAGCTTAATTTCAGCGGGTCGGTCTCCACTCAGAACCCAGACGTAACTAGTTACGTAGCTAGTTCTTTAAATTTTGGGGCCTGTTTGGCTGCCCTACATACAGAATCCAAGAGACGAGGTTGGATTCAGACGTCAATTTGAGGAAAGAGGGCACCACAATCGAGCGGACAAATTCTGGAAACCCGCTTCGAGACTGCCCCTTCAAGTAACTAAGCTTCTGAGCTGGAGGGATTGGAGCATCAGGGTTCGGGGCCTAATGTTGGGCCATGGTTTTCTGCCTTTGGGCTTAGGCTTTTGCAGGAAAACTCGCATGGATACATTGCTGTGACTGCAGCATCAGTGGACCACTCAGGGAAACAACGGTGGGTTTTGTGGTCATGCGAAGGAGGAGAGGCCCGACATCTTTGCCGCCGCACGCTGAGTGCAACTTGAAATTTTCAGATGCCCAGGATGTGTTGTTTGCAGTCTCGGGCCCTTCAGCATGCGAGAGCTTCTGCAAGTTGTGTGTGTGTGAGAGAGAGAGAGAGATTGTGTGTGTGTGTGTGTGAGATTGTGTGTGTGTGTGTGTGTCTCTGTGTCTGTGTCTGTGTCTGTGTCCGTGTGTGTGGGTGTGTGTGTGTATCACTGTGAATTCATTCATGAGTACTAAGTATTTGATGCGAGCCACATTGCAGTTTTTTTTGCAGGGCGTTCGTAGAATTTTGCAACGGGTTTCACGCTCGTGCAATGAGACCTGGAGACATGCACCGTCGCTTTATGGTTCTCAAAAAAAGGACCGTGCTCGATGCTGCAAGTTGACCGCTGCTACCGGATGCCTGACAAAGTTAAGACAGAGCAAGGTCACAGAAGGTCACTTCTCCCCCATGCCAACTGTGCAGCCAGAGCCTTCGAGTTGATGAGCGGCTTGACGTTTCTTACAGGTGCTGGAACCAGACGCGCACGTGTTTGCAGCCTGCATACTGCAGATATTGTCAAGCCTGGCACCAAATGTGGTTTCTACCGCGTCTGTTTTTGCTTAGCAGCCGAGCAGTTGTGTGAGGAGCGGTGCCCTGGACCTTGTCGTTGGTCGTGATGATGGAAATGTGGAACTTTGGGGCCTTGGTGATGCTGCCGTGGCGCTGGGCATGTTTTGCTCAAGCTTTGTTTCTTTTCTCAAGTACACAAAGACACTGCGCTTTGCTAGGCATTTGCCTCGCAACGCTTAGAGCAGGCAGTGTGCGTTCTGCTGTGTGCTGCTGCTTGTGGAGATTCCGCAGATAGGTGAGGGCCATCAGTGATATTTAGGGGTGTGGCTCGATGTCCCAGACCAGTTGTTGCGAGTATCCCGTGAATTCGTGCTTCGTCCAGTTCTTCATATTGCTACAGCAGTATGTTTTCGTAAGATGTCCCAAGCTGGCATCGTGTGCCGCACATCCAGTTTCTCTGGTGAGGCTACTCATTTCGCTGAAGGGTAGGCGAAGGCAGGCGACAGGCAGGTGCTTAGGACTCAGGACCGTGCAGCGCAGGGCTTGGGGCAAGGCGGGTGGTAGGGCTGGGGAGAAGGGGGTGGAGGGGCACATGCTCGTGGGTTCGGGGCTTGGAAGTTCACTGTGCGCACCCTCTATCATACTCTCCCATCATCAGGCCTGCCTGGCCCTTCATTCGGGGCACAATCAGCACGATGTTGATGAATGGCTACATTGCAGAGCAGAGCAGAAAATGCTGCCACGTGTTGAACAGGCCCCGACGCCTTTGTGGGAAACGTGCTTGCAAGAAAGCATTCAATCCTTGAGCTCGCGGCTTGGTGCTATCCTTTGTGGCATTTGATGTAAGTGTACGCATTCAGGAATCACGCATCGGAACATATCCGAACCAGGCTCGGGCCACATAACTGGTGGCGACTATGTCGAAGTAGTGCTTGCCTTAAACCCCGCTGTCACAGTGAACCCGACGCTGGACTGGCAGCTCAGGTCCTTGCTACCTATGGTGGCAAAGTCTTAGCCTTCACACCAAGTGGCGCAGCTCGGGATCCAACAGGCACGCAGATGGCGCAGCAAGAGGCAGGAAGGTTAAGTTAGGTTAACCATCTCCGGTCCTGAAAATTTGCGACAATCTTTCATTGGCGACATTGCCACACGAACCCGTGGTCCAGGAGAAGGAGGAAGCCGGAGCATCCTTGGTTTCAAGGATGGCTGGGGACTTGAGCAGCATCATGAAGTTCGCTTTTGCGAATCCTCCCGCGGACACCTGCGATGCACAGGTCAAGACTACGAAATCGGCTGCAAGATGCTCAGCTGTGTTGCCACGACTCCTTTTGCCTCTTGGTTGGCTGTCTGCTATGTTACGTGCAGCGCTTGTCAGGAGTACGGTGCTACTTGTAATATGCACAAGTTCAGTAGCACTTGTTCTGCTCAGGACGTGGAACAGGCCGAAGTGCGCCATGAAAGGTCTCGCCGCTTTCAAGTGGCCTGGATAAGGAAGCTGTTCACACAGCTGTCAGCTGCCCGATTGCACTCGATAATCACTTTGACTTGATATGCAGCTGAGGTTCTGGAGCAAGAGGACCGGCCTCTTGTGATCATTGAATGTCATAAAAGGGACTGGATGACTTCGCCGGTGCATCTTGGCACGCGCAGGTTGCGAGACTCAAGGCGGAGTCTGATAAGGCCTTCGCGCATTGCCATGTTTTAGGACAGGACATTCGCTTTTCTTGGAGGATTTTTCTTGTGCATAGGCACGGAAAGAGTACCAGAGCCTTTCCTCAGAGCAGATTGCAATGCAGACAACTACGAAGGCCCACGAGCATCAACTCGTTTCTTTCGTTGCCCTCCATTCTTCGGCACCTTTCTCGGATCTTCTCGGATTTTCAGGTGAGTCACAGATTCGGCCTATCAAGTGAGGAGGCTTGTTACATCCTGACGGTTAGAGCCTCAGACGTAAGTTCTTGAGGGCTCATGGAGCGTTTATTTGGCCGGGGGGTGGCCGCAACGACGTGCAAACAAACGATCCGAAGGGAGACCAGGCAAAGGGCTCAGGAGGCCTTGGTAGATCGAGACTCGGCATGGGAAGGCTGTCTGCACGCATTTTATCATCAAGATCTGGTCCAAAGCGATTATTTTCAGCACTTCCCTCCCCCTTCGCAAATTCGTTCTGGCAGCGGGTCGAGACGGGCAAAGCAAACCGCGCCGTGACATCCGCCGCACCGCTCCTTCGACACTGCTTTGGAAGGCATACCCAGGGCCGGCACTGGATTCTAATGGCAATAGGAATGCTCGGACACCCACAGCTGGGGGTTCATTTCCCCAAATGGAAAGCAAAATCGCACAGAAGCAATGCGAAAGTGATAGCGAGAGCGGGTTGACAGACAGGCACTTGGGCTTGGGTTGCAATTAAGCTCATGTTGCTTTCTGGGAGGAATGCCAACATGGAGAAACGGCCCAGTGATGCTCCAGAATACCCCGCATTTTCAGCAAATCCAGTTTCTGGTTATCAGCAGCCCTCCTTTCACTTTAAGATGAGCTACCGTCACTTGCAGACTGCTCCATAGCCCTGTCGTATCTGACTGAACTAAGACATGACCATGACTGATCACAAGGTGGAGTCACAGGCTGCAATTGAGCTCATCTCCCTTCGAGCTGATGTGGAAGTGGACCCCCAGACTTTGCCAAACTTGCATCAGGGGCCTCCTTCGGTTTGAGGGTTTGTTTGAGCGAGCAGACGTGCCAGAAATGCCTCAGGTTGACTAAGTTCCGTCCCTCCGCATCGATAGTTATTACAGTCTCCGAGCAGCGGGGCACCGATGAAAGAAAGCTATAGCTACGTGTTGTTCAAGTTGTCAAGGATGTTGAGCAGCACTCTGTTGAGCTAGTTTAGCTGATCGTCGGTGTGGCGAGAACACTCAGAAGCTGTTTGAGTGACACCGTTCACTCCGAGCAGAAGCTAGGTGACGCAGTTCACAGCATCTCACGGCCTTCACTACACATTTCACACGACCTTGCTTAGGCATCAAGACTCAGTTCAACTACAAGCGTTGAGTTCTCTGGTGTTGCCCTGGTCACTAAACAGCAATATAATGCCGAGTAATCAGCAAAGCCAACGAGGACTTGCTGGACCACTCGGGTACAGGTGCGATCCTTTCACGATCCAAGGCATCGAAGAATCAACATGAGAGCCCTCATGCGGCCATGATGCACGTTAAGTCCGCTAAGTTTCGTTTGCCGGCAGGGTGATCCTCAGAATCCCTTGCTGGCGCCATCTGCTCAGATGCATAGACCATCATCTACCGCGTCTGCCGCTTTCAACACGCTCGTGAATTTGAGCTGTGAACCTAGCTCAGGACATATCGGATGCAAGAAGAAGGCCTCAGCGCCTCCATGTGGCCGAAGTATTTCAGTAGAAAGAAGCGGCACCACTTCCCTGTCGACAACGATCTTGAGCAGAGCAGGCACACGGTTCCAGATCCGCTTGCGGACCATCGAAGGGCTGAGTGGTGCGCCCACCCTTCTGGTAGAAGTGCATCGCTCAAGCCTCCGCAAGCCGTGTGCCGTGTTTGTCCGTGTGTGTCTCTGTGTGTGTGTGTGTGTGTGCGTATGTGTGTGTGTGTGTTGTGATGTCGGTGTGGGGAACACCAAATGCCAAGGGAGCCTTGGAATAACAGTCATGCCACTTGGTTCGTGCAGGGGGCTGGCAGCTTGTTCCGTCATGCCAGCCAACGAAGCTAGCGGAGCAAGTGGATGGAGCTGTTGGACACATAGTCTTCTGTACCAGCAAGGTACAATGCCTGTGATGCAAATACCCCATCAAGCCCCATGTATTGAGCAGTTGCAGTCAAGAGACTTGGATCGCACCTCGGTTTAAGCAGGCACTTGGATCACATTCTGCAATTCAGCCGCTCCCTGGATTGTAGAACAACCTCGGGAGGGACAACCATTAGTGGGTGTGGGTGTGGGGGTGGGGGTGGGGGTGGGAGTGTTTGGTGGGTGGGGTGCGTGCGTGCGAGTGTGTGTGTCTGTGTTTTTTTTTGTTGTGTGTGTGTGTGTGTGTCTCTCTCTCTCTCTGTCTCTGTGTCAATGGGAGTACGCCCACCCCGTCTTAGAAAGTTTCGGATTTCTTGTTTTTCAAGGACCATCTTATGGGTGTGCGGGTCAAGGGAAGGCGGCATTTATGAGCGGGCTAGAGGCACGCAGGGTGGGGGTGGGCGTGGCCTGACCAACAAAGCTGTCCAAGGAAGCAGACTGGCACGCCACGCTGTGTTTGAGTGGTGTAGGCGCGAACACCAACCCTCTCGAACACCTAGCATGCCCGTGCCATATCGTTGGGGCAGCTCGCTGTGGGACTTGCGCTGCACCTTGTCGTGGGCAGATTCATTTATTGACACTGGCCAGCTGTTTCAGTGTCAGAGTGCGTTGCCAGGAAGCCTTACAATAAGAGCAGTTTTCCTACCGGGAGGCTCTGGAGATTGCTATACGGATGGTTCATTGTGCAATGCGCCAGGAACGCTTTCGGCCTTCGTTGTCCGAGCCCAATGTACGGCACTATTGACTAGGAGCATCTCGTATCTTGTATTGGGGCAGTGTTGCAAATGCTGAGGTGCCTGCCACACAGCCCAAAACGGTCACATGCCCAGGGTTTCGGCCAGTGACTGCGCTTGGCATGTTGGGTGGTGGATTGGGACTGCCCGTTCATCGAACGTTCAACACCACTGATTGGGTACTCAGGGCCGCCCTGTGCCTGGTCAGATATGTCGTTGTTTCTGGCTTTAACTTTGCAGCCTGCAATTGCCAGTCATGAGCGTCAAGGCGCACCTCATCAGCGTGTCCATTAAGCCCTTGGCTCTGCATGAGAAGGCTTTAGTTTGCGGGGTCTGTTCCAACTGGCTGTGTCTGGCTTGCATCATATGTCCCGCTCTTGCAGCGAGAGCTTGAGCGAAGTGGCAGGAAGAAAGGGACGAAAACAGTGCAGACATGTGCAGACAAAAGAGAGCTCGCACAGCTCGCGCAGCACATCCAAACCTTGAACTGCAGATTGCCGAACCCTCTGGCGAAATTCCCATGAGCTCCCAGCTTAGCAGTTGCTGCGGAAAGAAATTTGTTGTCATCTTCACTTCTAATTACTGCAATGGTGCAACCGCTGCTAAGATGAGTTCCGGCTGAACGGGCCCTTTTCCGTGACAGACATGCACTCATGGCTCGCTCTGTGCCAGGATCTTAGTTGATGCTGTGGTTCATCAGTTGACCTGCATCGTGGACGATGACTCTTTTATGACATGCGACTCATATGGCTGTAATTGATTCATGTCTTTTCTGATGCCATGTCAAAGACACACCAGATGTTTTGAAAGTGCGGCCGTTGCTGGGGCAGGTGTTAACGAACTTCCGTCCAGACCCACAGATGATGAAATGGTGATTAGCTACCGGACAGCACTCGCATCTTGAATTCATGCAGCTGGCATATGCGCAGCATACCTGACGGTTGTTTGCAGGAGTACCTTTGTTGGCACCCAGCTGTACGGGAGGCCTCCTGACTTGCGAGATGGGCAGCTATGGTTTGTCATGTCCTCCCCTTCCTTGAGGTATTCCAAGGGTACTGCGATCTTCAGGCTGTTGCCAGTTTTGTCGTGTTCAAGCCAACATCAGTGATGTGACTTACATGCCACGGGCACTCGAATCTCAGCATTGCCAAGATCGGATTCCATCACGACCATCAGCGTCCTGAAGGAAGTCTTGCTGTGTGCTTACATGCTCTCCGCGCCCCCCAATTGCAGCAGGTATTGATACTCGTATGTAAAGGCATTAGAGGTGTCGACAGGGACCGCCTCCGATCAGAGCAGGATATCATCACCAAGGAGGCGACAGCGAAAAAGATCCAGGCTCAAGAGTGCTGAACACTTTGGGAGCAAGCTGTCTCCTATTGTACTTCTCTTTGTTTCCTTCTCAGTGTCCTGCATGCACAACTCCTATCCTCTCCGTCGTTTGTAGGCAAAGATAGTCTTGCATTTCAAGTCTGAGATTGGAGTCTGAGATTACCGGCTCCTCGGCTTGCAGGTCTCCATGAACGTCGACGTAAAAGAAGAAACGTTCGGCCGATTTCTTGAGCTGCCCAAGCCCCAGTTGCTCCATTCAATGCAATGGTCAGCGTTCGCCTCAACTGGACAACCTGAAGAGTCCTGAACCCTGTGAATTGATGTCGCTGATTGCTGCTGTGAATCCTGAAGTGAGATGGGAGCGGACAACCCTCTAAACCTTTTCGCTTTCTAAAGCTTAGAGAGAGAGAGAGAGAGAGAGAGATGGAAGCAAGGCTTACAAGAATACTGACTAAACCCCAATTGCAGCGATAATAGGCATCAATCGCCAAGGGCAGGGCTTTTTGGGCATCACTGGTCCGTTCTGCGTTATGGGCCCAAAACAAGAAAGACGTAATACAACATGTATATATATATATATGTATGTATGTATGTATTTATTTATATATGCTACCCCGGGCATGTGGGGGGGGTACCATATATATGTATGTGTAGGTGTATATACGATACGTTATACTTGAAGAGTTTGCAAAGCTGCCGAAGCTTACCCAGGGTGCACCCCAAGCTGAATTACCAGCACGATGGGGCCTGAGCGTGACCAGCTCGACGTTTGGGTTTGACTGGTCTGCTCCGGCTGGGACAAAATGAGGCCTTGACGCAACAGGTGCGCATGGCTTGCTCCTCAGCTTCGAAGTGTGCTTGCTTGGTGCGGTTTTGTGTGACTTTTGATTGCACCTGCCGTTTTTGCAGGTGGAGCCGCTACGCGAGGCACCCACGTGAAACTGCGCATGAAACGAAGGTCACCTTATCAACGATCCGTGAAGCTGACCGTTGTACTGTATTTGTTTGGCCATCGAGAATGTCTCGTTGGCATCAACGCCCCACCAACAGTCCACCAGTGACACATGATGGATTCTCCGAATCCACCGAAACAGGCAACAGTTGGCAACACTGTTAAATGCTCAACTGTAGCACAATGTTTGAGGCCATCTGCAGAGCGAAGAAACTGTAGATCGTGTCCGTGAAGTTCTTCAGAGCTTGGACATCCAGAATTTAAAGGAGATGCCTTGCAAGCGCGAACCACCAGTCCCCCCTTTCGCGAAGGAACGAACGGCCTGCTTTACAGCAAGGGCCCGATTTGTTCCTTGAGCCAAATTGGCTGCGGCTACGGTGCCTCTGCACTGACCATCAAACAATCTTCTCTTGCCGGCCACAGCACCCGGCTGCAGGTTCACTTCTCTTTTTCTGGAGCTTGCGTCTGTAAGGCCAAGTAAACGGAATCTCCAGCTTGCGAGTGTTCTTTATGCTGACATTTGTGGGCATTTTACGATTTGCAAAAAGCAACATGACCGTAGGCTTGAAGCGAAGGATGATAGTTTTCTCGAGTGAAGCGAAAGAAAGAGCACCTCAGTTTAGGGGTTGAGTGAAGCGAAAGAGCACCTCAGTTTCAGAGCTGTTTTCAGTGGAGGTGATAGCAACTGCTCCCTCCCTGAGGTGATGCAGAATGTGAAACAGGTACTCTTTGCACCTTTGGCCTTGAGTTGTCTGACTCCCTGAGCTCACACTGTAAGGCTGTTCACCTCCAGCAGCTTGTTCAGTTGTAAATTTTTCGGGTTGGTGTGAAGATATCTTGTTTGATAGCTTCTGCAGTACAGCCTGCTGTCCTTCCAAGTACCAAGTACCTGTTCTTCAATTTCACTTGATGCGACAGGTCCAGCTGCAGGAGGGTGAGACTAAGTTTCTTCATCCGGAACTGCTTGGCTACCCAGACGATCATGCCAGCATTCAGCTAGGAAGCAGTGGCACGCAAACGAGATCACAGAGCCTAGCCTGAGACCCCGTGGCTTCACAGAGGCAGTCAGTGCTGGAGCAGGCAGCCGAAATCCAGCAGCAGCGTGCTCCTGAGCCCTACACTCGTTTTACTTGTATTTGTTTCTTCTCTATTCTGCATGTCAAGTTGTCTCTGGTAGTTTCGCGTAATGGACCGTGAAACACAGTGAGTCGAAAAGTGTGTGTGCCTTTCGCATCCACCGACACAGGTTCCAGCTCCAACCACAGAAGCTGGCCTTCCTACACAGCATTGTCATCTCTGCAAGAAGCCCTGGATTCCTAGAGTTCGCGAGGAGTTCCGATGCAGGAAAGAGCACGTTTGTCCCCCAAGGCTTACAGGCACAAGTGGCGTCTTCGTGGCTACCAAAGTGTGGAGCACCGAATCAAGGACGTCAGAGTAGAGTGGCCCACACACACACTATACGATCACATGAGCCCGTCGGAGTGGGTTCTCTCAGTATTGCGGTCTTGCTGCTGATGCGGAAGATGAAGGGAAACAGGATTCGATTTTCCCTGCGAGAGGCCCCGAAGTTGTTTTACATTCGTTAATCATGTGTGTGTGTGTGTCCAACAACGAAATCTGCTTGACGATCAAGCTTGGGGAGCATGGCGATAAGCCACAATTTGTTTTCACCCGAATTCAAGTTCTGATCATCGCCAGCGAGTAAAACAGCTCAGCTACCTCAACGAGGGAGCTGTGTGTGTACACTCCTGGGTTGCAAGGCTTTTTGGCCAGCGCTCTCCCTGGGGGTCGCTGGCCAACGAAGACGCCCCCAGGGAGGGGTGAAAACGTACCTGCTTGTAACTTCTAGCTACTCCTCCGGGGGTGTCAAAGTGTGTGTGTGTGTGTGTGTGTGTGTGCGCGCGCGCGTGCGCGTGCGCATGCGTGCGGTGCGTAGTGAGTGCGTGCGTGCGTTTCCAGTCTTTGGGCTCGGATGGCGCTGAATACAAGCGTGCAAGGGAACAGCGCAAACAAGATCCCATGCTTCCTATAACACGAAGACAAGCGGAGTCAGTTTCACTCGGATTTAATCGTCAACGAAGATCGAACCTTAGGTGGCTCAAACTCGATGGGGATATATACAGGCCCTTCCTGGAAGGTTCAACTTTCATGTAAACTTAATTTGAAACGCCTCAGATTCAAGAAACAAAGCCCAAGTTCATGATTGAGATTATTTGTCCCCACAGCATAGATCCTGGCGTTTAGAACTAATCAAATCTAGTTATGAAAACTCACGGAAGAAAGGTTCCTAATTGAATTTCGTGTAACATTTGAACTTCAAGCAAGCGAAGTTCCAGACGTTTTAAACCTTCAGACGTGTCAAGTGTGGTTATAACATTGACAGGGAAGTTCTATGTTCCAAATCATGTAAGCCAATCACAAGAAAAGCCGGTTTAGATCCGATGTTGCCGATTCTTGGCAAGTCCCACACCCTCATGCAAATCCGATCATACAGCGAAACAAACATAATACAGCTGAGTCGGGCACTTCTTGGAAGCATCTGTTCTGTCATGCAAACCTTGATTTCGTTGTTGGTGTTTCAGACTTCCTAGACTCTGTCTGTACATACAAGTCTTAACAAAAGGTTGCGCCCAAATCTGACAACGAAGCTGTTAGCCTTTGGCACTTCTGAGTAGAGACATTCCTAGAAACTGCTACTGCAACCAGAGTGCGATTGAAAACTATCTATAATCCCCTTAGAGCCCCAAAGTTTGGCATCTGTTGGGGAGATCAAAAGCACTGTCTAGAAGCACCCTTGAGTCTCAAGAAGAGAGTGAGGGTTTTGGTGTAGGGTTGGCATGCAGCCTTTAACTATCTAAACTGCTCACTCAGGGGCGGGAGGGGGGGACTTGAACCAGTTTGGAGATGTTTAGATAGTTTAGACACTGAAAAATCGTTCAAACTAAACCCCCCTTGCTCAATGAGGAGGGAGCGGGGGATCCGACAATTCGGGAGCTATCCAAAGCATGCAACCTTGCGGCATTAACTCCAAACAAACCCCCACACACGAGCTTCTTACCTGCATAAACATACAGCACACATGTGTACGACTAGGACTGACCAACTGCATGCTCTCTAGCCATTTTTGACTGGAAGCATGTCGCCCTGTCCCAGATGTGCAGCGTGGCACAACCACTCTGGCCCTAACACTAAGTCCAGACTTTGAAGACGTGTTGCGAAGTGAATCTGGAGCTCTTCTCGGCAGGACTTGCAGAGACTCCTGGAGGCGCGTTTGCATCCCTTTGTAAGTTGCACAGTAGCAGGGAGTGGGTGAATGTACCTGATGCTGACCCTGTGCCCACCTTCCACGTTACAAAATCGCCAGTCCTACAACTTGGATGCGGTGTCCGCCTTCTTCAGCGAGTCCATCGACTGATGCAAGCGACCATCTCCGACTCCGAATCTAGCTGACGCGACCACCACGAGCTCTCTCAATACCTGTAGGACCATGTTGTCACTTAGTTGGAGGGTATGAAGCTCGTCTCCAGCAACTCGGGTGGCAGTATCGTGTCCTTGTACATTGCGCAACCCTACGCCAGACTGGTTGAAATCAAAACTCAGCGGCGTAAAAGTGCGGGAGCCGAAAAAGAAGAAGAAGACAAAGAAGAAGAAGAAGAAGAAGAAGAAGAAGGAGGAGCACGCAGAACAAGATGGGGCCACTCACAGAGTGGATTGCGTCTCGTTCACGAAATATTGGCTGGGCTTTCTTGGTTTGATAGGTATGCTGTCAGAACAGGCTCGTCTGCAGTCGGCTCCATGGCTCATATGAAACTCACGAAGCTCGTGAGAGTCACAATTGCCGTACTGATAGCAGTGTGCTATAGAGTCCATGATGTTGCAGAAGGCAGCGGGTCAAAACCATTGGACTCGTACAAGTAGCTGGTTTACGTGGACTTTCTACAACAGGGCTTGTAGCCAAATCCATCCGGCTTGTGACATGCCGTTGGGACCATTTCTATGAACTCTCCGATGCACTTTGCGACAAGGGTTTGTTCTGGCAGGGTGGGATGAGGGCGACCACGCAAAACCACAGTTGACTCTCAACGTATGTTAGCCTTCAAAGCTTGCTGCGTAGCTGGCGTAGCTACTTGAGCATGGCCGCTTCTCCCGTTCGTGGACAGAGAAATGTCGTATTGCCAGATCGCTTGGGAGCTCTTAGTAGATTTGGTAGTGCCAGCCCCACCAGGAGGAGACGGCCTTCTTCCATCATCTCTCGGCGGGATGGAAGCGATGACTCCCAGGTTTCATCTCCGCACACGACGAGCGATGCCGTGCTCCTCAGATGCAGGGATACCATCGAACGACTTCACAGCGATGTGGAGGAGGAACGTCAGAAGCGCTCGAAGCTGCATGAACAGGTCGTCGCTGGTGAGAGCGAATTGGCCGCAGCAAAGGTAGATTTAGCTGAGGAGCAGGTGCGATGCCGCGAAGCAGAATCTCGCTGCACACGGCTGGAGCGCCAGCTCTCCGAAGCTGAGCAGCGCTTAAAGTCACAGAAAGAGACGTTTGAGGCTGCCCACTCCCAAGTGCAGCATCTGAAAACCGAGTCCCTGCAGAAAGCCCAAGAGCACTTTGCACAAGGTTTGAAGATCACTGAGCTCGAGAGCGCTGCGAATCGTGCTGAGTCTCGGGCATCAAGACAGCAGGAGGAGATTGCGAGGCTGACTGCCGAATTAAAAAAAGCGCAGTCCAAAGTGGCCGACCTGGAAAGCGACGCCAATCGTTTACAGGAATCTCTTGAAAGCAAGGCGCTGGAGGCCGCTCGAGTACAGCGCATTGGTCAGGAGCATGAGCATCGTTGTGAAGCGCTTCAGCGAGAGCTGGAGGATCTGCACGCAGACAAAGATGCTGACAAGGCGTCTCTCGAGGGGCAGCAGTTTGAGTTGCAGGAGATGGCACTAAGGCAAGAGAGGCTGCACGCAGCTTGGAAAGAGCGTGAAGTCGAGTTGCAAAGGCTACAACAGGAACGGGATGAAGCGAGAGACGAAACGGAGGCATTGCAGCAAGAGGCAGAGTCGTCCCATCAGCAGGCGTGCCAGGCATGTTCATCACCTCGCATACCCAAGCACGATCGTTATGTATGGTATTTCTCACGGTTCCGGCGGGGAAAGTGAGCTGCATGATTTGCCAGGCACGCCGCATGGCGGAGGAGCACAGAGAGCTGTTGGAGAAGTCATTACCTCGGGTCCTGCACTTCACTACACTCTGGCACAAGATCATGCAATGTCCGGACATCTTGCCTCCAGCGGTTGACGCTACCGGTACATAGTGATACATAGTGCGTCCTTTTCGTGTCATCGTCATCAACCACTCCTCCCATCGGCACGAATCGACACACCGAACATCACCGAACTCTGACGTTCACTCTGAAGCATGCAGCTGGAGCGGTGTCAGTCTGATACTTGAAAGGCTGGGCCGCTTGGAAGCAGAATCCTCGAAACTACGGCGGCAGGCCCGAGCCACGTCTGCTGAGCATCTCTTCTCATCAGGCATGAGGGGGGTTAGCCAGGTTAGCCAGAGCATCAAACAATCTCTGACCTGTCGATGGTGTTGTTGATAGTGTTGTAGCTATTGCTCTTGGACAGACAGAGCCCCGTAAATTGTTCTAGCATTCTAGCACAGAAAGACTCGCACAACACGATTGGCGAACTAGCAGACGGCTGTTTATCTATGTCATGGTCGTAGGATTTTGCCATTGTTGTGCATTGTGCCAGGTTGAAGAGGCACGCCGAGAAGCTAGCGAGAGGTCTGATGATCTGGAACGGGTGGAAAGGCGGGCTCTCGAGAAATTGGTCTTAGGACTTAGGACTTAGGAGCGCTGGGACCAGGCTGGCGGATGCTACCTAAATCGGAAAACAAGACTATGAATCACGCAACGAATCAGAAAACAGCGAGGTTTGGGTTTAGGGATCTCCCCCAAGAAACATTTATTGAAGACAGGTCTACTAAGTACCCGCCCCCCCTCCCCTTCTGATAGGCGTCGATAGACCGCTATACAGACCCCTATGGTAACAAATTTATCACTTGCGCTCGAGCAGCAAGGTTTGCTTTATTAGACAAGTGGTTTTTAGGGTTTAGGGTTTAGCGGTCTTCAGGGTTTAGGGGTTTTTAGGGTGTAGGTCTTGGGTGTTTTAGGGTTGAGGGTTGAGGGCTTGAGGCGTTAGGGGGTTTTAGGATTTAGGGTTTAGGGTTTTTTAGGGTTTAGGGTTTAAGGTTTTTGTAGGGTTTTTTTGGGTTTAGAGTTTAGGGTTTTTTAGGGTTTAGGATTTGTTGGTTTAGGCCTCAGGGTTTTTGGGCTTTAGGGTGTTTTAGGGTTTGTGGCTGGGCTTTTGGGGTTTAGGGCTTCGGGGTTTTTAGGATGGGTTTGATAACGGGGGGGTTGGGGGGGGGGGGCGCAGCCCCCCACCCCATTTGCAAACACAATGCTCGCATGATGGGTCTGAACAAACATGACTATGTTTAAGTTTAAGGGTTTTAGGGTTTAGGTTTTTTACGGTTTGGATTTATTGGGGTTTGGGGCTTAGGGGTTTGTAGGGTTTAGAGTTTTCGGGTTAGGGTTTAGTTTTTTTGGGTTTAGGGCTCAGGGGTTCCTAGGGTGTAGGGCTTAGGGCCTTCAGGTTTTAGGGTTTTTTCGGGCTTTTGGGGTTAGATTTTTTTTGGGGGTTTCGGGGTCTTTAGAACTTCGGGGTTTTTAGGGTCGAGGGTTTATTGGGGCTTAGGGCTTGGGATTTTTTCCCTAGATTCTACCTTCGGGGGCCGGGGGGGGGTGGTGGTTGGGGTGGGGGGGGGTTTGGGGGGGGGGTTGGGGGGGGGGGTTGGGGGGGGGGGTTTGGGGGGGGGGGGGGTTTGGGGGGGGAGTTTGGGGGGGGGGGGGGGGTTGGGGGGGGGGGGGTTGGGGGGGGGTTTGGGGGGGTTTGGGGGGGTTGGGTGATGGGTTTGAAAAAACATGCATATGTTTAGGGGTTTTAGGGTTTAGGGTTTCTTACGGTGTGGATTTATTCGGGTTGAGGGCTTAGCGGTTTTTAGGGTTTAGAGTTTTCGGGGTTTGAAGTTGAGAGGTTTTCAGGGTGTTGAGTTTTTTGGGTCTAGGGCTCAGGGGTTCTTCGGGTGTAGGGCTTAGGGCTTTTAGGGAGAAAAAAAGCATTGCGCCCACTCTTGCTGGCTTTTGGTTCTGATTCGTGCCTTGGCGTTTTCTGATTTGCACCGCCATGTTTTCTGATTTGCACTCCTGTTGAGTTATGCTTGGCTGATTTGCCTGTTACCCCCAGGCTGGCAGTGGCCAAGTTTAAATGATCGTCTTCGTTTCTTTAAAGAGTCATGCCGCGATTTCGAAAAGTGTCGTGGTCTGTGGGAAGAATGGCCCCGATCTGTTCTTAGTGAAGGTCATGAAGAACTTCACAAGACAAGAGCCATGTAAATCTTCGGGGGTGGGGGGGTGCGGGCGGGGGGTGGGGATGAGGGCGCGGGGTTGAAGGGGAGTCGGGAGGTTGGGGAGGTGGTGCACCAACCCCTATTCCAGAGAAGGGGTGAAAGTTGTCGGGTGGCGCTTCGGGGTGAAACGGTAGCTTTCATTTTTTGGAAGGCGTCCCTACAAGCCGAAGCGAAGCCCTTTCCAGCCATCGAATCCCGCATACTCCCAAGCAGACGTTTATTGTCCGGAAATAGCACAAGGACATCTCAGTCGGATTGATTTTTTTCTAACAATGTGTTGCTGAGCGCAGGCAGCGTGCAAGCCACAGCACGACTGTCGCCGCTTTGGAGCAGCAGGTTGGCAGACTGCAATGTCCGTTCCGCACTGTGCAGCGTGGTGTAGCGTGAGCATGTAAGTCTCAGCGCTCCGATCTCACAAGTCTCTGCTGAACGGCGAGGAGAATCAATCCTAAGGAAAGAAAGCGATAGATTTCAGATCCAGCATCTTGCATATTCATGTGTTCCAGGACGTAGGATGAGAGGTCAGAGTTCTACCGCAGTGACGAGATTTTGCCGACAGCTCAAGAAGGTAAATCATTTGACCACGGCTAGCGCCAACGCTGCGCGGCGCGACCCGCCTCGGCCTGGGCCGCTCGGGCATAGCCCGGCTCTCTCTACAATTGCTACACAAGTCGTAAGTACATCCTAGGGAATATCCCTAAGAATCGCTCGAGGGGGTTGTTGGGGGGGGGGGGTCCATCCCCTGTGGTCGGCGGCCCCAAGATTTTACGTCCTGGCGCAGCCTCCACTCCCGAATGCCGGTCGGCTAGGCGAGTTACCCATTGCAGGGTGAGAAAAGGGTACAGTGTGTCTGTGCGTCTGTGCGCGTGAGAGACCAGTCAGAATTCTTCTCATGAGAGCGATCCGCAGATTGATGAGCTTCGTCGCCAGCTTCGGGACCGCAGCCAGGAACTGGCAAGGCCACGTACATGTCTGATCTTGTTGGTATGTGTGGCTGATTGCGCGCCCAGAAGACATGCAAGCAAACGTCGCAGCGCTGTAGTCAACTGGCAGCTCCACCACGACACCTTCAGCAGCTTTGCAAACCGATGCTGCGCCCGTTTGTCCTGCGAGTTGCGCAAAACAAACGATCTTCGGAGAGTTTGCTACAGGGCCCTTCCAGTCCGAGCGGAAAAATGATGGCCGTATGACCAGGCCTGCAACCCTGTGGCGTTCGTTTCTGCAGCATTCTTCAGCGGTTCCGGACACCCGCATCTGTTTTGTGACTCACTTGTGTGGCCTCCTGTGACTCGCATGGGACCGATGTCATCGCTTGCTTCCGAGATGGCCAAAGCAGCGGCGAGGTACCGTGGTGCCCCAACCAGGGAGGGAGGAAACCTCGCCCAAAATCGTGACACCAAGCAAGTGTATCAGTGAGAGACGAGTTTAGTTGCTAGCTGGAAGCCCATGCCTCAGCTGCAGAACGGTTTCAGCAGGAATTGCAAAAAAAGTACAAGGCTACAAGCTCCAGCCTACGGGCCCCACCAAGCGAAGTCGTTGAGCACTCGTGACCTGAGCCAGTGGCCAAGATGGAATCTGCAGGCACAGTACTCACAGCATCGGTTGGGCCCTCGTATGAATTGGCCACGTGGAGCTTCTCTTAAAACGGCCTTCGGAGAATTTTAGCTCAGAATAGCTGGTATGCCTCTGACATGAATTCAAAGCTGCAGACTGCGAAGTTCAAGGTTGCCGGTGCAACCATGATCCGCCATAGTTTCTCGAGTTGGCGCCTCAATCACGCACAGCATAGGATCTGCTGTTTCATCAGGTGGCAGCATCCGCTCGCCAACGCTGAACGACTACTGAACGGCAGTCGCTTGTTGCCGGCGAGACAGATCCAAACACAGGAACGTGATGCATCCGTGGGAAATGTGGCAATCACCTCCATGCATGGCATTAAATGCAAACTCTGGTGAGCCCCAGGTTGAACGCTGGGCCAAACCTTTGTGGTTCGGGAACACTCATGTTCCATCTTTAACTCTGAGTTCAGTTCGAACCCGGGGCTCTTTGTTTTTACTCCAGAAAGTCCATCCGAGTCCATCCGGTCTTCTCTGTGCAAATGCTAATTTTCAGCTTGCCGGCCCCCCTGCTCCCTTCTGTTCACTTTTCGAGTGCATGTGCTGCACTAGTGCAAGCATGTGACGAGGGCTTAGGTTGGTCTTAAGCCACGTCACCACGACTGCCCCACGAGTTGGTCGCTTCTCATGTGTTTCTTGAGAAACAGTTCGACTTGGGGAAAGAGAACCCCAATGCTGCATGATAGTGGATTACGAGAATGTTCTCAGAAAGAATCTAGTGCTTCCCTTGTGCCAGGCAGAAAGCCGAGCAGCAGAAGGCATGGGCACGAAACATCTACTCACTTCGGTTAATAAGGAAAACTCCCATGATCAAGTTCAATCCTTCTGCCTTGACGTGCCAACCATGCCAACAATAGTTTGCAGGTCCAGCAGCAGCTGCATGAAACCAGAGCGATGGAGGACAGCATTTTGACTTCTGTGGTAGCACATACGGAGGCACTCTGACACACTTTTCACACATTGCCGTTAGAAGTTAAAGTTAGCATGGACATGGATATAGTATGATTCAGTTATAGTAGGAGCTGACGGGGCGCCTTGTGCAGGAGCAGCGATCCAAGTTGGTGGCAAGTGCATAACCCAGAGTGAAGCTGTTTGAAGACTGTGAGCACAAGCGACTGAGCCAATGCCGACACCATGATACTGCATGTGGAAGACCACTAGAAGCTATGACGGTTGGCATTCTTTCAGGGCAAGTAAGTTGAGGGTGCAAAAAGGAAGACAG